GAAGTACTCATGCAAGGAAACGGGAATGCGTGGCTCCTGCTCCATAGGTTCCCCAGCATATGTTGTCTTATCATGCTTTATGTTTCTTTTAGGCTTCGCATTGTTGCGGCCGTGGTGATTTCTTTTTTGTTCCATCTTTGGCTGTATGACTCGTGGTCTTGGTTTCCTTGTCTTTTTGTAGGTTACCAATATCCATCCTTCTTCATCATCAGCATGTGCATCTTGGTCGCTTCCCTCCAGTGATGGTTGTGTAGGAGGTGCCGTGCAACTTGAGCATTCACGGGAATGGTCAGGTGTCGTTTGGAGAGGCACAGGATTAAACGATCCAAACGCAATTGTAATGGTATGCGTTGCGGCCGTGTCCTCAAGGTCGAGCTCAATTTGCCCTTGTTGTGCTAGCTTCATGATGAGTTCTTTAAGAACGAAGCACTTGCCAACAGGATGACTCACAATACGATGGTACTTGCAGTACCTAGGATCGTTTGTGCGATTCATTTCTTCAGGACGCTTGCATTCGGGTAGCTCAATCACCTTTTTTTTCCAGCAAGTCATCTAACATGGCAGCCATATCAGAGTCAGGAAAATGGTACGTTTTCTGTTCCAACTCTCTCAAAGTGCTCTTGTATCTGTCTTGGGTGCGAGAAGGCTCACTTGTCTTTATCTCCTTCGCTTTCTTCTTGGAGGAGATCTTGATGGGCGCTGAGGTGGTCTTGATGGGGGTAGTGTTGACGGTGAAAGCTTCCTTAGCGGGCTTCTTCCCAGTCTTGTCTACATTTGGGGCGAATACTTTGTCCTTCTTGAAGTTAGTAATCGGCTCATTTTTCCCGTGATTAGCGATACTCAGCTCCATGTTGTGGGAACGAGTTGCCAGCTCTTCGAATGATCTTGGTTTTATGCCTTGGAGGATGTAATGTAAACCCCAGTGCATGCCTTGAACGCACATCTCAATGGCAGAGGTTTCAGAAAACCGATCTTTGCAATCCAGACTTAAAGAACGCCATCTATTTATGTAGTCAACGACAGGTTCATCTTTCCATTGTTTCGTACTGGTCAGCTCTAGCATGCTTACAGTACGACGAGTGCTGTAGAAGCGGTTGAGGAATTCCCTTTCTAGCTGGTCCCAACTGTTGATAGACTCGGGTTCGAGGTCGGTGTACCAATCAAAAACGTTACTTTTCAGTGAACACACGAACTGTTTGACGAGGTAGTCTCCCTCTGTCCCAGCATTGTTGCAAGTTTCAATGAAATGGGCGACATGTTGCTTCGGGTTGCCTTTTCCATCGAACTGCATGAATTTTGGGGGCTGATAACCCCTTGGCATCTTCAAAGCATCAATCTTCTTGGAGTAGGGCTTTGAGTACAGTACAGAGTCATGTGAACTTCCTTCGTACTGTGTCTTGATAGTGCTTGCAATCATCTCCTGTAGTTGCTGGATAGAGAGAGATCCCATGAACGCCGTTGCTTGGTCTAGCTTCAGCTTCTCTTCGACTTTCTCTGCTGGAGGCTCCTCTTCTTCGTCGACTTCTTTCTTTACTAGGCTATCATTTGGGTCGACTTTCACCTCAGGCTGCGCATCTAGTTGGTTGACGAGTGCGGCAATCTGCAAGTCATTCTCTTCCACAGTCCGTGTGAGCTTTGCGATTGTTTCATTCATCTGAGCTAGCTGCTCCTCGATTGAAGTTGCTCCAGTGGTCATGACTTGCATGGTTGTACTGCCGCTCGAATCAGCGTCAGAGAGTAGGGACTCTGAGTATTTCCTCGGGCTTTCCCCTCTTGATGCCCTTAGCGAGGCTAGGGTGATCACAGGCTCGTGCCTCAGGTGCTCTTGTTCCTTTGACAGAGTTAATGCAGGGGCGGAAGCCGCGGCAAAAAGAGCTCTTGCCTTACTTCGGGTTATGATGCACGAAATATCACCACTTGCAGCGATGATGTTCTTGTTTTTTGCTTTGATTGTAGGAACAACTTGATCCTTTCTTGATGCCATTTGCGTTTTTCGATGATTTCAGGATAGAGATGAGATGTAGAGATGTCCCACCGGGCGTGCCAAATTTGTAAACACGAAAAATTCCTGAAACAAGAAACAAGAATACGTGTACAAAATAATATTTTTGTGTTTAATGATTTTGGGGTTACAACCTCTTTGTAATTTGATCCTCTGATTCTATCTTCGTAGGGTGTAGGTTTGTGGATGAGTTGTTGATCCAAAGGGCCGTCGGGGCTTGATCTAAGGATGAACAGTTGATGAACGGATCTTCAAGGGGCGTTGGGCTTGATCTTGAAGAATAAGTGTATGGGTTTGTTGAGGTTGTTGATCCAAAGGACCGTTGGGGCTTGATCTTAGGATGAACGGATGATGAATGATAAACACTTTCTTCAAGGGGCCGTCGGGGCTTGATCTTGAGTTGGTGGGAGTTCTTCAAGGGTCGTTGGGGCTTGATCTTGAAGGAGGATTTGACGAAGAACGAAGAGTGCTTTCTTGATCATTCGGGATTTTCTTGAGAGCTTTAGAACTTTAAGGCTTCAAGTTTTTGGTGTGTGTAGGGAGTATTCTCTTCCATTTTGGGAGTAGAGAAATGTATTTGTGAATTGGTGTCTCTTCCTCTAGATGGAGAAGCCTATTTATAGGCTTTGAGAGTGAATCACCACCATTCATTTTTTTGGTGAAGTGAGTGGATGATGTAGGTGAAGTGAGTGGAGGTTGTAGGTGAGGTAAATGGATGATGTAGGTGAAATGAGTGGAGGTTGTTGGTGAAGTGAGGGAATGATATAGGTGAGGTAAATGGATGATGTAGGTGAAATGAGTGGAGGTTGTTGGTGAAGTGAGGGAATGATATAGGTGAAATAAGTGTTGTATTGGTTAACATTTATTTCACTGAAATTTCGATGTCTACACACCCCTCTTGACAGCTTGTAAAGTGTTTTTCCTTTGCAATTCGTGGACGTGGCACTGTTTTGACAAATGTTGACCACCTTGGGTAAATGCCGTCTGCTAGGTAGTATGGCCCGTCGTACATACGTCTATTGATGCAGTACGTGACTTTTGGTCCCTTTCCTTGCAGGACATCATTGAACATTGGGGATTGGGCAAGAACATTGAGGTCGTTTTGAGCTCCCGGAACTCCGAAAAAGGCATGCTAAATCCATGTATCAAAAGATGCGACCGCCTCCAAAATGATACTTTTTACTTCTTTTCTGTCCCCATAACCGCCTTGCCATGCACTTGGACAATTTTTCCACGTCCAGTGTATACAATCGATGCTTCCAATCATCCCAGGAAAACCTTACATCTCGCCCTTCTTCAGTAGCCTTTGCAAGTCTATGTCAGTAGGCGTCCGGAGGTACTCTGCAGTGTAGATAGATTCGATTGCTCCGTAAAACCTCATTAGGGACTCAAGAATGGTTGATTTCCCCATCCTCGTTATCTCATCCACTTGGTCTGCAAATGCTCCATATGCAAGCATCTGCAAGGCAACAATAATTTTTTACTCTAGAAGGAGACCCATAACACCAAAAGCATCATTCTTTTGCACAAAGTAAGAATCATGGTTGCAAACAGCAATCATGATTTTGTTGAACAACTGTCGTTCCGTTCTAAAACGACGTCTAAAGTAGGTATTAGGGAATGCACAATTACAGACAAAATATCGTCCAAGAGTTCCGTACCTCGTCGTTGCCTGCTTCTATCAAGGTTTCCGGAACTGGCTGGGCCTGCACCTAGTATCTCGACCGTCAACAGCTGCCTAGCTTTGGTGGCAATTCACCATGCTCGTAACCACAGTCAAGTAGGCTCAGTAGTTTAGAGCATCGAACTTAGAATCTCCGACATTTGTTTGTTTATTGGTGAGATAGCCTGCGCCCTTACCATTGGGTTACTTGATTGTGGTTATCACCATTACCATTACACGATAATCACCATTGCCAATCTCACCTTCATGTTATGGTGATATCAAACAAATAGGTCTTAACGAGTAGCCATTAACAACCCAACAGGTTGTAATAGGTTGTTTTGCCACCTCTTTGTCTAGCTATTGGTCTAATTGTAGACATTAGCACATTAATTAAGAAGAAACCTACTTTTAGTTCACATGAATATGAACATAATTAAATAATTTGTAATCAATCTATACCATTATTAAGGAGGTTGATCTAACGGTTAAGGAGAAATTCTCATATTGAAAATTTCTTGTAGAAAAATACTTTTTCCGTAACTAGGATAAAAGAGTGGAAAATACGAAGAAAATTTTGACTAAATTGTGAACAACATTATTAGTGAATCAAAATTGATAAAAATGCTTCTCTATAACAATTTTTTGGGTATTCCCAAAAAAAGAGAACCCCCATTGTGTGACATGTAAAAAAATAGCATCATTAAGACATCGTTGACATAGGATCATTAAGACATCGGTTCAAGAGAGAATGTTTTCAATTCAATGAGTTTCTAGTCTCTTAATATACTTGTGAATATTTAACATATTAATCACATCATTATCATGTAACACTCTTAATAATTCTTTTATATTCAAATTTGAAGAAAAGTAACTTATCTGATAACAGTGTTGTGTTTGAATGGACCTAAACCGATCCCTAAACACGAATTGCGCTCCTTTAATCATGACATTCCGAGTACTTTCCAATAAAATAATATTATTGTTTTAGTAAAAACCCTAACAAATGTTTAATCAAATTTTTAATGAACATGAGTGGCCTGCATAATGGAGTATGATTCTCTCCTTTTTTTTTTTTTTTTTTCCTCTTATTTGAATTCTCACGGTTAAATCACATCTACATCTTATATTCATTTTTTATAGCAAAAATAAGAGAATATGAGAGGAAGAGATGAAAGAGAATAAAAAAAGAAGGAAAAAAATCCTAATCGCTGCGGTATATCCTAGAAGGTTAAAATATCTGATGAACAATATCTTTGTACGGACGTAGGAGAGATCCTTGCACTGCCACGTGGCACCGTGTCTTCCCTTCTCTCTCCCCCTTCGACGGCGTTTACCAGTCTCCAAGATTCGCACCGTCTCGCCTTTTGGTCAGCGTCCTTTACCGAAAACGCCCCCAAACCCCTCTCTCCATTTTCTCGCTCAATTTTCTCGGTAAAAAAACAGAAAATCAGACACAAGTCGCCGCTTGCTTCTCCGATCGAGTTTCGTGGAGGTGGGGAAAATTTAGATGGATTTAGCTCCCTATGCATCACATACCTCGATTTTTCTCTCATAGTAAGGGGACGAAAGCCATGGATCCGAAGAAGAACCGCCGGAAGCCGAGGCTCGAGCGCCGGAATGCGGGGAAGCACTTTGACTACGACGCCGCCTCGATGTCATCCTCACTCGACGACTCCTCGTCGTCGGCCTCACTCCACACGCGCTCGTTCGACTTGGACCGGACGAGCTTCCGGGTCGAGGGGAACGAGGGCGATATGGAGCGGATATACAAGACCTTGGGCCTCGGACCCGACGACTTCTCGATATCGGAGGAGGACTGGGTGGCCCGGAAGATCCGCTCGACTTCGGATGTTCTCCCCATATCCAGATTGTACGGGTTGGATAGTCTGGATAGTCCGAAACCCGACGAATTGAGGGAAGAAGTGGCTGAGTTGTCCGATAGAGTAAGGGCTGTTACTGTTGCTGCAACTGAGTTGACTCTAGCTGACTCGCCGGTTCCAAGCGGGGTTTATAATGCTGATGCGGCTGCTGCTGCTACTTCTGTTTCAGCTGGGGTTTCTATTGGGATTAAGGGTGTGCGGCCGCCCGTGCTCAGGCCGCCGCCGTCGATGAGGGTTCCGGTGATTGACGACGGATGCTCGACTTGGGACATTCTGAGGGATTTCGCGCCAGAAGGCGCAGGAAATGCGGTGGGAAAGAGGCTTGGTTTTTCTTCGGCAGCTTCCTCTTGTTCTGATGAAGAAGAAGAAGGAGAGGTTGGAGAGGAGGACGATGTGGAAGGTGAGATTAGAGAGACTGTGCCGGTCTCTGAAGAGACTGTATCGGTCTCTGAAGGGTGTTCATTTACGACGTCGAATGATGATGATTCTTCTAGCACCACCACTGTTTCTCCGAATGAGAGAATTTCGCCGAATGGGAGGCTAAAGCTTATTATCACTCACTGGGAGAAGGGTGACCTTCTTGGTAGTGGGTCTTTCGGGTCGGTATATGAAGCCATTTCTGAGTAAGTGTTCAATACCCTTTACAGTTTCTGAATGCTTATTCTTGAGGTCGAAACTTCAAATAACTTAGAGGGATAACTAATGACATAATAAGCAAGCTTAGGGAAGAAAGATCAGCATTGAAAGATAGTTTGTTGTTCTTAGGACTTGGGCTAGCTGTAGGTTAAATTTTAAGTGATTTAACATTTCAGTGTTTAGTGGTGATTGTTAAAGAAAGGGTTCCACTTGGTTTCAAAGTTTACGTGTTGGAAGAGAAGATAGATGACCTCATTTAACTTAGCGATACTAGTGACGGAAAGACTAGCCTAGCTTGATGGAGTGTTCTAGACAGGAAGTTTGAAAGGCATTATTTAGCTTTGATTGGAAGAATCGCCAATACCCTGAAAATCTTAAGATGATAGTTGTTCAAATCTGAGACCTTGCTCCAATCAAGTGCTAAATTTGCACTAGCAAAAGCATTTTTTAGACATATATTGGAATTCAATGGGTTGTAGATGAAGAGATTGTAGGCTTCTTTGCCTTTTTATGTTATTTGAGTCTTAAAGCATATCCGATTTTCCTACTTCATGGGGTTTAAGGTGTTTTTGAGAACTATCAGCCAGTATATCATGCCATCCTTGTGGTGTGCAAATGTATGGACAATTGAGTTATGCCAGGAACCCTTTTTGCAAAGATTGAGTTCTAGGTGTTGAATAGAAGAGGAACTTGAGTTCTTAAATATAGGAGGAAGGTGATTTATATTCGAGGGTGCTACTAGATTTCAAAGCAGAGGTTCTCTATGATTCATTTCACCATTTATTTATGGTTTTCCAAATTCTTATTCCAAACTTGCAATGGTTCCTTGAAAATATACCATAGTTGGACCCTTTGAGGCAGAACAATGGAAGGTTAATAAACAACTGAAGAAATATATTATTTTTACAGATAAAAGAAGGTTATGGTTGCTATATTTTTAGAGATAGCAGACACCTAGGCTGCAAATAAGCACAGCTGAGACATACTTTTGGCTGGCTCAGCTGTCTAGATTTTTTTTTCTGAGCTTAACGATAGGGGAATGGATGCAATTCTGAAGTTATTTTATCTTTCCCACTTCTACAGTAGCTTACTGTTATTCATAGAACCTTTATTTCTATACGAAAGTTTGATAAACTCTACATGAAAATGAATTGGTTTGTTTTTATGCAGATCTCCCCTAATGAACTTAAATAATACAACTGCTCATTTTAAAAGAGCGGCCATGCTTCATCTTTAGCTTCAGAGATATTCTATCATCTTGTTGATTATGGTTATTCTTTCCTTCAGTGGTGGAAGCTTCATTGCTGTGAAGGAAGTTTCATTGCTTGATAAAGGAAGTCAGGGGAAGCAAAGAGTTTATCAACTTGAACAGGTGACGGAGGCTTTTCTTGTGTCTGGTTCTGTGTCCTGGTTTTGCTTCCCCAATACCATGTTATTAAGTAATTGATTCAGTTATTATATGTGAGTAGAGCCTAGGTTGATTATTGTTTCTTGCTGACATACTTTTCTCCTCATTTGTTGTTTTCCTTTCAGGAGATTGCTCTTTTGAGTCAGTTTGAACATCATAACATAGTTCAATATTACGGCACCCAAAGGGTACTCCTTTTTATTTGCTTGTTCTTGACTTGAATGTATGCCCCATGTTTTTTTGGTCATGCTATGCCTATGTCTCCCATGATGAGTATTTATGCACGTCAAGATCATATGTTCAGCATATAAAATTCTACAATTCGTGCCATTATGACAATGAGAATCATAGAGGTTGTTGGTGTGCACAGCTACAAAAAAGTCCCCCTTAATGTACACAAAATATTCTCATGCATTCTATATTTTGTATTTCATGACATGGTATTTGTTATATGCTATTGCTATTACTATCTTTTATTTAGTTTTCTTATTTTTATTCACATACAAATTGATTTTAGATATAAAAATTATACTGGTCAGGGTGTCATGTATGGATGGTTACCGGTTACCCTTTCAGCCACTTTGGCTATACAATTTGATGGTCTTGTTTGACTCCAAAAGTATTTAGGATTTGTAGTATCAACTGTAGATAAATTGATTTTAAGCTTAGGTATTTCTGACCTGTTTTATACATTTACCAGTTATGCATTGGATCTTTATAGCTTTTGTATTTATCAATCTACACTGGTTATGAGCACCAGTATCTGATGTATAATTTGTTCAATGGTCGTTGTAGGATGAATCAAACCTTTATATCTTTCTGGAGCTTGTAGCTAAAGGTTCCCTTCAGAAACTCTATCAGACGTATCATCTTACAGATTCTCATGTATCTGAATACACAAGACAGATCCTGCATGGACTGAAGTATCTTCATGACCGAAAAGTGGTTCACAGGTAATTCATATCACAAGATTTATATTTATTTGAAAGATATTATGTGGATTATTTCCACCAATGAGCCATCTCATGTCAGGGTCATTCCATAAACGAATGAAGATAAAATTGAAGTGGCCGTGCCATCAGAATGTTCATACTATTTCCTTCTGTAATTTTGTCTGCATCCATTCTCATCTATATGTTTCTTGTATTAAGGGACATCAAATGTGCAAACATTCTGGTGCATGCAAATGGATCTGTGAAGCTTGCAGATTTTGGATTGGCAAAGGTTTGTCCTTCATTCCTTGAAATCTTTTCTGTTTTAGTGTTTACAATATTTACAAGTGATTGCGAACTACTTTTCTACTAATATTTTTTGATGCGTCCTTTTTCCAGACTATCCAAAATATGAATGACATTAAATCTTGCCAGGGGACTGCATTCTGGATGGCCCCAGAGGTTTGCCTTTACACTTCCATTTTAATTTCAGTTATCAAAAATAAATATTAGACTATTTTGAATGCGTATGAGCTCTCTTTTTCATTCAATCGAGGACATAAAGTACTTCAGTTTGATACTGATGAAGACTTGTACAATCATGGATTGCTAAATTTAGTGGTTATTGCAGGATGATTTTCCCAAATTGTACTTACTTCCTGAACCCTGATCAAATTGTACTTGCTTCCTGAACTATGATAAAATGTTAATGTGTTTTAGACAGGTTGCTGCATTACCTAGTATAACATTTATGTGAAACATTGCTAAATAAATAAAGCAACAGGAACCATTTAAGTGAATATTTTGAAACAAGAAGATAGAATTTTCACATGTGCAACTTGAATGTTTGCCAGCTTCTGTTTTTTCTATATATCACATCACATGGAGTATCTTTCTCGAGTATGTAGGCGGAATGGATGTAGTTCTGTTTTTACAATGTCTAGCCTCTGAAAATATTATATAAGTCGCTGCATGTCCTATATTTTGCAAATTTTTGCTTGGGAGGCAAATATGTTGATACATGCATGTTATAGGCTGTGTCCAAACTTTATTGGAGTATTTCTTAGTCAACTTATTCTTGTGCAGGTTGTTAACCGAAAGAGCCAAGGTTATGGGCTTCCAGCTGATATATGGAGCCTTGGATGCACTGTGTTGGAGATGTTAACTGGGCGGGTTCCATACTCTAATCTTGAATGGGTTTGTGCCAATGTCATTATGAGTTTTACTCTTTATGGTCTATACTCTAGTGATGACGACAATGTGTTGGATGATGCATCTCTTTTGACGTTTGTTTCTGACACAGTCTCTTCTTATGTCTCAACAGATGCAGGCATTATTTAAGATTGGAAAGGGAGAGCCTCCTCAGGTTCCCGATTCTCTTTCAAAAGATGCACAAGATTTCATCGATCGGTGCCTACAAGTTGATCCAAACAAACGCCCCTCTGCTGCTCTGCTCTTAACTCATCCATTTCTTAAGAGACCCCTTCCCACGTCTTCTGGATCAGCATCTCCATATCATCGGCGGGGGCCCAGCTGAAAACATGTGTTCATCTATAAGCTGTTGAGATATAAGGTAAAAAAATTGGCTTTGTTTTCCATTATTTCATATTCGTTGCTCGCTCTTCCCATGAATTTAAACTCAAAGACTTATAAAACCAATACTTTCACTGTTTAATATTTTTTGCTTTAGTAACATCTCTGTCCAACACTACAGATGCAGGACTTTTATCCCCGTTCTGTAACTTGCTCCGGTATCCAGTGTTCATGCCATCAATTATTGGCTTACACTGGTAGAGTGCGTGTGCGTTCATCCATTTTCAAGGTCTTCGAGAGATGTGCTAACGGGGTCCATGACTTGAGAAGAACAATCAACCGCCCTCCGTCCACACCTCCTTACTCAGAAAATCTTGCACCACGGAGCATTCTGGTATGAAGTTATTCGAGTTTATTCATCTGTTTCCCTTTCTAGTTCCACAGTAAGTTATTTAGTGGGTGAAAGATTTGTATTAGCCAAAGTTGTGGTAGTAAGATTTGTAAGCATTGGAAAGGAATCACGATTTGTATATAATTTGTTATCGTCGTCGTCGTCGTCGTGGCAGTCGGCAGGCATACGTAATACAACCTGTAATCTGTGTGTATAATATTTTACTTAGCAAATAATTTAGTACAGCAATTTCCGAGCAACCGAGCTTGTGCAAAGTCTTTATATTCGTGGAAAAGGAATAGCCAACCATTTGGGAATTAGCCACGAATTTTGACTCTTTATTTTATTTTTGTTCAACTTGGAAAACCATTTATTAAAAGAGTAAATTTACTGAACATTCCATGGTTTTATTCTTTTTAATGCATTTTCAACCAAGACCATCAGTCAAATGTCAACATCAACAAGAAACGTCTGTAGCTATCAATTTTGGGGGCGGATTTTTAATTTTTTTGTTTTGTCAATAGAACTTTCATTACATTAAAAAACTTTTACAAAGCCCAAAAAAAAAAATAAAAATAAATAAAAATAAAACGGGTAAACAAACAACATCTAAGGTAAAAGGCCCAAGTAAAATGAGAGTTGCAACCTAATATACAACGGGGGACCTTCACAAACTTATGTTTGAAGGCAACAATAACATTCAACAAAAAAACCCTAATCTCAAGCTACATAAATCAAACCATTGCCGTCGTCACATCCTCGAATGAAGCCAAACTTCGAACGAAGAAAGTAGACACCAAATCCAAGTCTCCTTCACAAACCCTATGCAAATATATACAAACAAAGTATCATATGGGTAAAGAGTGAGGCTAAGAAGTATGTAAAATACCTAACACTTCGCCTAATAGGGATTCGGCATGCTGGTTGGGGGAAGTAAGGGAGGGCAGTAGATTTGGTATCCAATTTCTGATTGGAGCCCACCTATTCGAGTACATGATGGGGATGGAGTATCACAGCTAAGGAGGAGGGAGAAAGGAAAATTAAAAGACAGAAATCAATAAAAGTAGGCAAAAGACACTAAATAAGGGGCATGAAGCCCAAATCTGAGACAAACTCAAGGAAAACTAAAATAAACTCAGGAGAACCAAGAATAAAACGAAAAAAGGAGACTGGAAAGGGGAGATGAAGAAGAGGTGGATGCAGGGAGGGCGATGAGGCAAAGGAAGTGAGACGGAAGGAAAGATGGAAAGGGAAAGGATGGAAAAGGCAAAAGAGGGAAGGAGGGAAGGATGAGGGAAGAAGAAAGGAAGGAGTAGTGGACTGCCGCCTATCCCGAGCAAGAGCAAGGGGTGGCGGATGTTTGAATTGTGGATTGTGAGAAGCCAGTGCAGAGTATAGCAAAGGTGCATGCGCAATCCAACTGGGCTCTCACAATCTACATGTGGACAATGTCAGCACTTGATCGTCTTACACTTTCTTCACAAGATTGTTTTTTCTTCCTCAAGTGACCAAAAAACAAGAAAGGAATCGTGCTAATGACAATTTCATTTCACATGTATCAATTTCTTTTCATCTACGTAATTTGATTTGATAAATAATAATATATATATATATATATATATAAAACAAACGATAGTTTTACACTAAAAGCATTTCCACCCTAAAAAGCCCCATGTGCAATAGGCAATTCAATCCCCAAGTGTGAATAGTAACTTCCTTAGTGACCGTAACTGTCTAAATACATCTCTACCCTAAACTAAATAGCTCAGACAATCGTATTAAAATATTATTAATTTTTTTTATAAAATAATAAAAGATAATTTTATTTTTTATTTTGAATGATAATAAAATATTGATTGAAAGTATTTGAAAATATTGAAATGTGGTGTAAGGTGGAAGAACATGGTTAGATATTTTTAGAAAAAAATTATTATTTTATATTTTTTGTATTTTAATTAATTTTATGATTTTTTTTATAATTTTTTGAAATTCTTAATTAATTTTTTAGAGTAAATTACACTTTACCTCCTCAAGTTTGAGTACAATTGCAACTTTATATACCATTTTTAAAAGATTTCAATCTTATACATTTACTATCATTTTATTTCATTATTATACATCCGTTAAAAAATCTGTTAACTTACTGTTAAGTAATGATGTGACACATATCTAGTCAATATTTATGCTAATGTAGTTGCCAACTTTGCACTAAGTGGATAAAAACAAATAAAAAAAATGATTAATAATAACAAAACACAGTGGGCCCCACCAATCTACCATCCTCACCCTGCTTCGCCCTTCTGCCCACCCCCTCCCTTCACCACCAAAACACAACCCACTCCCCCCATCGCCACCCCAATGAAGTGGACACTCGCCGATTTTGCGATCTCACTTGGTCTCTCCTTCGAGTTCCAGCCGTAGGAGGGTAAAATCAGGAGCATAACCGAGCTGAGCCAACTCGGAATCTGACCGAGCGAGGCCATTGTGGTCCACTAGATTGTACGACGTCATGGGCAGCGATGGAGGCGCTGGGATTGCTTAGCTCGTTGAGACCGAAGTTGATCACGATTGCCGAGCAGAAACCCTCAAATTTATTCATTTGTTAATTGAAATCCAAAAAAAAATAAATAAAAGATGCAAAATTAAAGCAATGCACAGAACACCCAGATCCCAGAACATCAGAAAAAACACGAACGACATTCAAATTAGGCAAAATTTGAGATTTTAACAATCTGGGTTTTAAGAAAAATGAAGGACATATAAAGGGAAGGGAGGGAAACACCTGCAGCTGCAGAGGGTTGGTGATTGCAGGCTCCTAGGTTTGCTCATTTGCCAATCATTTTTGGGGTGTAGGGGTTTTTTTTTAGAAAATGAAAAGATGGGGGATGGTACCACTCTTTGTCTGTCCTTGAAGTCAGTTGGAGAGAGAGAAAAGCCAGATGGGTTCTTGCAGGTTGTTGCAGAAGCTGAATTCTTGCGGAGGAAAACTGGAGGAGATATGCGAATTTCAGAGCAAGAGAGTCGAGATTCGATTGCTTGCGGTGGCTGAAGGAAGGGATGAAGGTGGCGATGTTGGTACGGGGGAGAGGAATAACTACAGGCGTCGGACGGGGACAGGAAATAGATGAACTCCAACTTTTGTTTATTTTATTTTAAGTTTTTAATTATAGAAAAAAAATTATTTTTTTATTAATTCATCTTTTATTATTTATTTATTTTATAAGTTAGCAACCTATATCAGCACAAATCTAGACTTAATTTTGCCACGTTATCACTTAACGGTTAATTTAACAAACTTTCTAACGGAATTTATGATATTGAAATGAAATGATAAGTAATGTATGTGATTGAAATGTTTTAAATATGTTGTATGAGATTATAATTGGACGTAAACCTGAGGGGCAAACTGTAATTTACCCAATTTTTTTTTTTTTTTTAAATAATTTTTAGTTGTAGCTAATGTTAGCCAATTTTTTATAATTTTTTAGTTGTAACTGATGTTAGCCTTGCGTCACATGGCCTAGGGGCTAGGCTGGTCAGTTTTGGCCTAGGGGCTAGGCTAGTCGGTTTTAGCCTAGGTGAGCAACTAGGTTCCCCTATAGCCTAGTGGATTCAAATGGGGTGGAGGAGTTTTGGAGGGAGGGAGGAGATTTAATCCACTATCTCCTAGGGGATTTGAGACGGATGGAAGTACTTTAAAGGGGTGGGTGGAGGAGCAGGTTAAGCCTCACAATTGGTTAGACCAGTATAAGTAGCAAGGGTGTGCTATCCACACACCCTTGTTACTTTCCACACACCTTTTTAATTTTCGATCATCAGATTAGATGTATTGAAGAAGATCAAATGACAAAAATTAACAAAAAAAATGTGCAAGAAATAAAAAAAATTGTGTGAATATCACATCTTGAGTCTAAACTGGGCCCAGTACATAATGAAAATGTACTCACTCAAAACTGCAAGCTTTGTAAGCCCAAATTATTTTCATTTGAGCCCAACAAAAAGCCTCCGTCTTCATCGTCGTCGTCATCATCATCTGTGATGATGCAGATGGCAACATTATGGTGCACCACCAACGCCATCGATCGGATAATATTAAAAGCCGCGAGCCATAAAAACTGCACTTTTTACAGTTTCCGCACGCCACCCAACTCCCTCTTTCCTCCCACGTGACCCTCCAAGATCGGACCTTTCTCTCACACCACCTCACTCTCTCCGCTTCCCCATTCCCACCAATCCAAAACTCTCCCCCCGCTCTCCTCCTCACCTCCCCCCCTCTCTCGCCGTAATCTCCGCCGCGTGTTTTCCTCTCTGCCGCTTCCCAGGTACTGGCCGAACCCCATTTCTCCGCCGATCTCAAATTTGGCCTCTCTTCGATTTCATTTTCTAGGGTTTTACTCTTCCCGTTTGCTTTGTCTCGATCGTTGCGACGAACCCATTTTCTCATATGTGAACGCGTACGTAGTGTTACATGTAGATTTGCATTTTCAAATTTTCACTGTTCGTTCATGGTTTCGTCCGTACAATCTGTTTTTGAAGGACCCGTACAGTCGATCTCAGATTGCATAAACTGTAGAGATGAGGCCTTTGGCCAGCCAAATTAGGGTTTTTTTTTTAGCTTTTGTTCAGTAAGTAATTAAACTGCTGATTTATCTATGTGACATTTTGATCCTGAAAGGAGATAAATGCTTGAATTTTTCGCCCTTTTCCCACATTTTAGGAAGTGTTTATTATTCGAATTAGTGCTTAGTTTAGAACAATTTAGTAAAAAAAGATGTAATCTTTTCAGGTTGGGTACTGCAAAAATGTAGTTCTCTGTGATGTACTCCTGGTGCTGTACCTCAGAAGTATCTCTTGAATACTTCTGGGCAGTCATTTTGGTTTTGATGCCGGTATATAATCAATTTTAACCCAGAAAAGGCTATAAATTGCAGAAGTGAAAACATAGGAGATGTTTTTAATTTTTGTAGTGCCTAATCTCTGAAAGGGTTTCTTAATGGTCAAATTATTGTCTCTTGCAACTTTAAACTGACCCATGTATTTAGAATTTTAGATTATTTCTAATCCTGAATCCTAATTTTTTTTTTTACTATTACTTCATTGTTTTGTCGGCCCTGGTACGTATGCTTCAGATGGTCATTTTAACTTGTACCGATAAAAAGAAGTTATTATATTCTAGTAAGATAAGCACAAGCTATTGGTATGCACTTATATTTCCTATGCAGAGACTGACAGAGTGAGTTCCCTTTAACAATATGATAGCTACTAAATTTGATTATGGCAGTCATTGGACATTGTGTCGGATCTCCATGAATTTGTTGATATTTTTTTGTTTTCGTAAGTTTATGAAGCTAGGCCAGCCAGGTCTTTACAAAGATCTATCTGGAAATTTTTATAATTTTATCTTAGATACACTGCAAAACTTTATTTCTTTTAAATAACCCCCTCCCTTTTATTCAAGGAGGTTTTGCTCACTTCTTCTGTAATCTGGTTATTGTTGAATGTCTCAATATTACCTGCTAAATAAAATGATGAACTGTGGTTTGTCAATTTGCACATGCGTTTTGTTTTGCATGAGATGTATGCCAAGCAACCTAGTTTGTTTACTCATCTGTTATTCTTAGAATGCCGAAGATTTGTAAGAATAATGTTCTTTCCCTTTCCCTCTCTTTCTCTTGATGAATTTCAGGTTGTGTTTGTAAATGGCCAAAGTAACAAGTTGCAATGTAAACATGACTCCCGAGCTGTAAAGAGGATACAGCATCCATTAAAGGTTCTTAAAGATGTACATTCAAAAAAGAAACCTCACAAAGCAGTGGAGGAGAAAGATTGGGAAGATGTGACTTGTTCAGTCTGCATGGAGTTCCCTCACAATGCTGTTCTCCTCCTTTGTTCCTCTTATAATAAGGGATGTCGCCCATATATGTGTGCCACTGGCCGTCGCTTTTCAAACTGTCTCGAACAATACAAGAAAGCGTACACAAAAGTGTGCTCAATTGAAAATTCTCGACCATGGAATGGAGTCAATGGACCAATGTATAATTTAGGTTTCAGTTCAACTCAAGGGGAGCCCGAGGAGAAGACAGATGTACCAGAGCTTTTATGCCCGCTATGTCGGGGGCAAGTGAAGGGTTGGACAGGTGGTGGAACCAGCACGACAATATTTTGATGCCAAGAAGAGAACATGCTTGCAGGAAAATTGCTCATTTGCTGGAACTTATAAACAGCTCAGAAAACATGTTAAGGCAAAGCACCCATTGGCACGACCCCGAGAAGTGGATCCCTTACTTCAAGAAAAATGGAGGAAGCTTGAGTCTGAGAGAGAGCGAAGTGATGTTATCAGCACAATAGTGTCATCTACTCCGGGGGCAGTGATCATGGGGGATTATGTGCTGGAGCCAAACCCTGATGGCATTTACAGTGATTCTGATTCGGAGCTAGATGATGACAGCGACTCAGATGATTTTGGATTTCGTTCGTTTGATATTGGTGGTCTCTTCTCACGACGCACGATTCGAAGGAACAATGATTTTTTGGATGACAATGATTTTTCCCGTGCTCCGCCTTCTAATTCTGCCTTTGCATCTCGACGTGGTTCTGTTCGAGGCAGGGGAGTGGTACGAAGGCTTGGCGGGCTTAGAGGTGGGGGTGTGCAGCGTAGAATTAGAGAACCTGGACGATTCTTATGATCAAAATTGCCCTAAAGTTGGGGAAGACTGCATTCTACTTTTGCGATTGTTTGTTTGAATGCATTCGCCTCATTGATGCACCTTGTTATGGTACGCGTTAGAACCATTGTCATTTTCATTGGAATCTTAGGCAGTTGAACCCCGCCTCTGTGGTTTCGTATCATTGCTTCTGCGCGACCGAATTGCACACTGTGATTAGTGACAGGTTATTGTGATCACCAGGTCGTAGGAAAAGCAGATGGCAGGGCCTAAACCCTGGATATTTTAGTGCAGTTTCGTGCTCAATTTTCCTCGTAGGTTGTATTGATTGGTCATTCTTTGTCATTCAACAGGGGTAAAAATTGTGCTTGTGTACTATCTTCTGTTAAATTCTGAATTCAGTGACTTACTGTGCTGATTCTTTTGCCAATTTTAATTATAGCTGGTGTACAGCTTCTGGAGGAATAATGTATTTCCTGTTGTGAATCACCATGTGGTTTTTTTAGGACCGCTCCTTTATTTTGGACCCTCTGTTTTAGGGGCCCCTACGCAATTTGATTTCCCAATTACCCTGCAAATCACAGTGCAAAAGTAACTCGTTAAAATTAAAGAAAAAAGTTTATTCACAATTGTCAAATTGTGATTTATTGTAACAAAAAAGGACTTCTTGCAAGATCAATATTATTCCGCGGGGCTATGAATAAATGGAATTGATATGATGCTTTCAATTTGTCTTTAAGGATAAATTTTTCAATAGGCTGGGAACACAGTGATGAGTCGAAATCCTATAACACGGCTCGGTTCACGATATGTTATAATACATTTGGTTAGAAAAAATAAATATTTTCAACTAATTGTATTATTACACTTAGTATACCCGGCTTATATTATTTAAGGAGCTAAAAAGTGTTCTGTTTACACGCATACTACGATTTTTTCTGCAGTAACTACTCTTGTTTTGAGTATTTTTCACTTGGCAAGATGTTTAAAAAGTCCACGCATGGAGGAAAAGATGGATCTTAAATGTACTTCTGTAACAAACAGAACTGGATAAGGGGGTAAAAAGACATAAGACCCATTCAAGCAAATTAACATTAAAAATTCTAAATCAAATAGCATGATAATTTCTCTCTGCAACCTTGGACCCTTTGTTGCAGCGCAAACCAGAAATTCCTCTCAGCACACACCTTATCTTCCTCTGCTCAAACACACCAAATAAAAACATATATATACAATGATAATTCTTTTACCAAAAAGAAATATAAACGATAGTGTCGAAACGATCATTTTTCAAATCTCAATTGCTGAAATAAAAGCAGAAACAATTTGATTAAAATGTACGCGATTTACCAGAAAGTTAGAACTTGTTTCTGATCCGACGGCCTTTTTGTTCCTGCCTATGATGGATTTGGGATTGCAATATACGTCCACTTCTGGTACTAAGCGTTGATATCTCCCTCTGCTCTTTGTTCTTTTGTGTCTTATTGGAGTTATGAACCTTTTGTTTCCCACCTGCTAAGGACACATGTATTTTCAGTTTGATAATTTATTTACTCGTGTGCATTTCTACTGCGGAGAGTGATTGGCCGACACTACAGTATCTGCTACATTGTCGATACCAAATATCAACTAAATGATCAATACAGCATTGCAAAAGAAACATATTTAGGTTTGGTAATTTCTAAGTTCATATGAATTCTAATATGAGAAGTGTATAGTACCTGTTATATTGTCGATATCAAATTTCAACAAACTATTGATAGAGATCAACAATGTACCAGAAATCGACTATTGACGAGAAATCAACTGTGTATCAACATTACCAAATAATCTATATATGCATGAAACCTTACCCTAGGCTTAGGCTTTGAACCGTTGTTAGTCCATTGCACTTTCTGAGCATCACCAGTTGTTCGTAGCTCTTGAGAATAAGCAAGGAGTTGAGCCCGGCGATCATAGATTCGTGTTTTCGCAGTCTGATGAGGCTTTTCGGAGCTCCGCTTGGGGTTAATCTTCTTGACAGGACCAGGTTTCTGATGAGAATCAGACGATGCTGGTAATTCCACATAGACAGTGATGATCACTTCCTTCTTGTTAGGTCTCTCTCTTGTGCCATTGTTCTTCTCCTCTTTCTCTAACTCTTGTTTTGCCATGGCTTCTGGATGTGATTTTGCTTGCGATTGAGTTGAATCCATTCCCTTTGGTCATGTTAATTAACTTTTGTTTTTGTTTATTAATTGCTTTTGTAAATATTAATTTCTAATCATAAAAATAAAAGGGCCAATTGTTACACTGAAAGCAATAAAAACAAATATAAAACTAATAATTAACAGTAAAAAAAATTTATTCCTCCCTCATAATTTACCTACCTTTTTTTTCTTATTCCCATTAAAAATATACTCAAAAGAATTACGTTACTTAATCACCAAACGATATTCTGTAATGAACTCTAATCGTAATTCTACTTATTTAAATAAAAAAGTGTAACTAATGAATTCGTTTCACAACAAACTGACAAAGATGCAAAGATGCTATTGATAAAAATAAAGGGTGCGTCTTTGCTAACCATTCTCAAGTGTTGATAATACTTATCATTCTATTTATTACTGTTAGATGAGTTTAAATTTTAAGATTTGTGTCTATCCACTATACAGATCTCGAAATTTAAACTCATCTACCGGTGATGTCAAGAGAAAACACAAAAATTTTCTCCCAAATGTAAAAGTGTAATGTGAATTGGCCTTCCTATTTTTGGGGAATTTATGTGTTCAAAGTACAAGTCGACTTACCAAATTTAACAATATAAAAATGGCTACTACATATTTTCTATTTACTACGCAGTTATTGTTGGGCAATAATAGTCACACGTCTTTTTTCTTTTTCAACGCAAATCTTTTATTCTTTTTATTTATGTTCATCGAATTGAATTAAATGAATCGAAAACAATATATAAGATTAAATATGAAAGTGCATGGGAGGAAATAAAAAATGGAGCATTAACGAAAAGGACTTGTGTCACATCCCGGCCCCGAGGGGGGGGACCACTTCCCGGGCCCGATTCACCACCGTAGCACGATATTGTCCGCTTTGGGCCCTGACGACGCCCTCACGGTTTTGTTTATAGGAACTCACACGAGAACTTCCCAGTGGATCACCCATCATGGGAATGCTCTCGCGCGCTACTCTCTTAACTTCGAAGTTGCGATGGAACCCGAAGCCAGTGAGCTCCCAAAAGGCCTCGTATTAGGTAGGGATGAGAATATATATATAAGGATCATTCCCCTGGGTGATGTGGGATCTTACAACTTGGGCTAACTTTTATTTAATGAAAAACCATCCTAAACTATTATTTAATAAAAAAGGTTTAAGTTTTAATTATAAGGACATAACTCAAGCCCTTAAAAAAGAAAAACACGGGCTCAACTAAAAGCCCAACCCGCATAACATTTATTGTCCCAAAAATGACCCTGACGGAAATAACCTAAGCCCGTTACAAAAATAACGGTTACTACATTCAATCCGCCACTCCACCGCCATTAATTGCACCAACCACCCCTACAATTCAGATTCCTTTCAGCAAAACCCAGTTCCAACTTCAAACTCCAAATTTCAAACCAAAATCTACAAGAACCTGCTAAGAACAACAAATTCCGACGAGCAACAATGGCAGAAGAACAACAAATTCTGACTGAATAACAAGTTCCCAACGATTAACAACTTCAGATTGAACAACAAACTCCCGAGGAGCAACAAGTTGCCTCCAAACAAAAGGTACTAAACTAAAATCATTGTTCGCATGTTCTTGATTCCATATAATCTATCAATTTTAAATTAGAAATTGCATTTTGATAACTAATCAATTATATTCGAAACTGAAATTCTATGTGTTCACTACTATTTTTCAATTTCATGTTTAAGTTTAGGATAGTTCAAGCAATATTGTGTCTTATTTTTGCCTCAAATCCACAGTTAGTTTGAGTTATATTGTTTTAGATCAATAAATAGTGTATATTTTGTTAGATCTCATAAAAATCGGGGGTTATTTTTCATCTATTTTACAAAGTAGTTTGGTTATTACGCTTAAATTCCAGAAATAATTTTCGGTTTTGATCCATTTCCACATAAACAGTGTGGGTATATCCATAAACAGTTCTTAATTGTTATTTCTCATAAATATTGGTGGCTATTTTGGACTAATATTCATTTTGCTCCATTTCATAATAATGTCGATTGATTTGGTTTTGTTTTGAACCCTTTCATAAACAATGTAGGTTGATTTTATTTTGTTTTGCTCCCTTTCCTTATAAATAGTGTGGCATAATTCATAAACAGTGTGGGTTATATTGTTTTATATCCATAAATATTGTGGGATATTTCATAAATAGTTTGACATATTTCATAAATATTGTGAGTTCTATCATTTTTTTTGGTTACTTTTTGCCATTTATGTGTAGTTTTTTCCAATGGGGTTTATTTTGGTACATTACATAAAATAGAATGAGTCTATTTAGTATAGTTTCATAAATAACATGCATTTTTTTGTTGTTGTTATAGTTCAATAAATAATATCCTAACAATTTTCATTGTTGAAGATGAAACAACGAAAAAACCTGCAAAGAAAGGTAAAACGAAGAAAAAAGAAGCTAAACAGAAGAAGGGATACCTCTAGTACAGATGCAACATGGTTGGGTTTGTAGAAGCAATGAAAGTCTACAACCCTATGTTATAATGGTGTCAATACATCTGTAATGAACTAGCAAAGACGCCATTTTGGAGTCTACTGAAGATGTATATGGATGGGACTTTGATTATGTCAGAAAGGAAGAGGAAGTCCGACATGGACTTGATCAAAATCATTAATTGCTACAACCCAACAACCCAAAAGTTCAAATTTGGGCGTCATAAAGCACATGGGATTTCCAGCAATGATGTTGTCCAAAACTTCGGATTGAACAACAAAGGAATCAATCTGCCGAATACAGACGAATCAACCAAATTTGGTGATGATGATCCCCTCATCAAAAAGTACTTCGCAGATGTCAAGGTAGTCAAGAAGAAGCATCTTGCAGAGGATATGAGAAAACACTTCTAGACGAAACACCTGAGGGCACACAAGATATTTCTTCACTCATATGTGCACATCTTGTTGAATCATTGCTGTTTACAAACTCTAGAACCTACATCACCTATAGTTTCCTGAAAATTTGTACGAACTTGCAGCAGATAAACAAGTACAATTGGGCCAAATGAGTAAGGGACTATCTGTTTAAGATGCTTGGAAAAGCAAATAAAAAAAAGAGGGAGGAAGGAGAAGAACCAACCACTAGTGGATGCACCATCCTTGTTTTGGTAAGTAACCAACATAGTTAATAAAAATAACATGAATTGTTTCTTACAAAGTTTTGCACAAACTAACATCAGTTACTTAATTCATATAGTACTGGATATGTCTTCACACAAATCTAGTGGAGACAATAGAATGACGAGAAAACATGATTCCGGCAATCACAAGATGGGACACAAGCATGATCCATAAAGCAATCAAGGATATCCCAGTGGAAAAAATAAAGGTGATCACCAATAATCAATATATTTCACTTTGAAAACAGTATTTTTCAACACAAAGATAATTACTTATCATATAAAATGACACCTATCTAATGTGACTGTTTGCAGATTAAGGATGCCATTTCTTCTCAACAGCCACATGAAGAATCTACAGAGAAACGACAACAAAAAAAGAAAGCAAATAAAAGAAAGTAGCTTGATACTCAAGAAGATGAATCAAACAACAAAGATGAATCAAACACAGAAGACATACCACAACAGGCACAAAACAATCTCCAAACAAAAGACTATCATATATGACCAAATAACATTTATAAACAATTAACTGATTCTACAAAAAAATGGTTCATTCAATGTGTCTTTTATACTCTTCCATAAATAATCGTGCCTTATTATGTGTTTGTTCATAAATAATTTGAGTAATTATGTTGTAGTACCATAAATAGAGTGCCTACTTCATAAACAGTCTTAGTTAATTTCATAAATAGTGTGTATATTCCATAAACAATGATGTTTAATTTCATAAATAGTGTCTATATTTCATAAATAATGTTGGTTATTATCATAAATAGTGTGTACATTTCATAAACAGTGTTGGTTAATTTCATAAATAATGTGTATTTCATAAACAGTGTGCTCAATTTCTAGAAAAAAAATGTTGGACATTTTGTGAAAATTAACAAAAAAATGTAATGTTATTGTGTGCAGGCTTGTTTTGAAATTCATTCTGCTCAACCAAAAAGACAATTTTCAAAGGCAAAAAGGCATAAAATGCGAGCAAAGAAATGCAAGACAACTGATGCCAAAATTGAATTATGAAAATGAAGAAGGAGAAAACATGGAGAACATAATTGGGTTTAATCAGAATGTCATCAACAACGATGAAGAATGTGAACAAGCACAAGGAGCATACTAAAGAACCAGAGAATATTAGCATTAATGAAGCCTAAACAGAATTCGACAAACTCTTTGGTGAAGAAATGATCAAGCTCAACACTATTGTCTAAAAATGCTGAACAATGAAGTGAAGAGTTGTTTGATGAGTTCAAGAAAGCTAGAAGCATTGCTGAGAAAAGGTATATAACCTTTAGGGAAATGATGGCGCATGCAATGGATGCATCAAACAGAGAATGCTTAATACGCGGCTAGATGATCAAAATGCTGAACAATGAAGTTGAAAAACTTCTAAAAAAAAGTAGAGATTAATTAGAAGAATAGCAATGCACTTAATGCCGAAATGTCAAAGATGCAGACAAAGACCACTGCAAATACTCTGAAGATCAATGACCATCTGAAACAGATTGGGAGCTTAAAAAAGAAGTTACAAGAAGCTCAATCAAGGGTGGCTGAAATGGAACCTTCACAAATTCCATATTTGAGTGCTTCTCCACAAGGACTTCCAGACACCTTGAAAGATAAGAAAGAACCGTCACCAGTACCACATGCGGCTGAAATACAAGTTCATATGAAGACACCAACAGTGGAACCAATGTCAAATGTGGTTGAAATGGAAGTTGAAAAAACACTGACAACATGACTAATTATACCAATAGTGGAGCATGTTCTGACTGATGTCAATGAAGGAAAACAATATGTTACTGAGAGAAAGGAAGATACGAGAACATTGGTCTGAAATGTACGTGCCAAGAATGATCGCAAATAGAATCTTGATCCAGGATTCGAATATGGTTGCCCTAAAAAAAAGAAAAAAGAAGATTAAATACAAGTTTGTAGTGAGTGACAGTGAGAGTCCATTGGTCATGCAATTACAAGAACAAACCTTACCCCATCAATGAAAAGGAGAAGGAGGAGGAGACCCCTAAAGGTGAATCACCTTTGAAGACAAAAGTTGAAGCAACACAAGTTCAAGCTGCAAAAGTTGAAACAAAAGGTGAATTACCTCTTAAGGCTTATGTGAAATCCAATTTGAAGGCTATCATTGAAGAACCAGAGAAGAAACCTAAAAAGAAGGCAACTAAGAATATAACAAAAGGGGAGACAAAAAGTAAATGCCCTTCAAGTACAAAGGCATACAAGCTGCTGAACCAAGAGATAAAAGAAAAAATCAAGGAGTACTACAGACATTGTCACTGTAAGTTTACCTTATTGACAATTTTTTTTTGTTTATAACATTTAAAATTATGTACTGCATAAATATGTATAATGTTTTTTTTTGTTTTATTTCTTACACATGGACTGCTTTTGGTTGATGCCGAAGATAGGGAGCATGGCCACTGAGCTTGTTCTACTGAGAAGTGATTTGACGTCATTGTTTGTTGATGGACCAATTGACGCGAAATTAGTTGATGTTTTTTCTACATCATGTTAGAAAATGAAATGAAAGAGGGCAAGGAACAAAGTCTTTATCTTTCTTCCTACATCTTTGTAAGTACCAAAAATAATTTTTCTACAAATATGTGGTTCTACGATTTCATATACATAGTATAACAATTAGTTCCTTTTTCATAAACACTGTATTTTTCTTGTTTTAAGTTTCTAAATAGTGACTAGTTCTTAGTGCATTTTAATAAATAATGCCTAGTTGTTCGTCTAGTTTCATAAACAGTTCAAGTTCTTAGTCAACTTTCATAAATAGTGCCCCAATGTATAGTCCAATTTCATAAACAATGTCCTAGTTACTCGACCACTTTCATAAATAGTGTATCTATTTTGGTTTCTGATTTCATAAATAGTGCCTAGAAAAACTATTGTCCATTTGTTTAATATAATATTTCTTTGTATTCAAAGAGAATGACATGGAGATAAAAAGACCAAAGAGTGATGACGAATACCTTGACCAACGTTTGAAGACAATATTGGAAGAAAATGTAGACAAGGTTGGCAAAGTATTCATCCTGATGAAACACTACTTCCACTTCACCTTAATAGTTTAGGACATTAAAAAATGAACAATGACTCATTACAATTCAAAACTAAAAAGGATTGAAGGAGGCAGAGACCAATATTTTGACCATGCTTTGCAAGTGGTAAAAACAAAACCTTAAATAATCCAGTTTATGTACTAAATTTCAAATGACAACAAATTGTTCCATACAAAACATTCCATTTCTTTCTTTTTTGGAGCGAGACAAGATCCAAACAATATACAAGACTTCAAGAGTGACAACACCTTAACAATAGATATTGAAAGCTACAAGACTTGCGCACAACAACGAGAAGACTCGTAAGTACAAACTTTATAATATCTAGAGTTACCCTAACTCCAAATATAAACGACATCATTATCCGTCATCTAATACTATCAATTGATGTATTCATCTATCATACTTATAGTTGAACTAAAAAATACAGGTTGGATTGTCGGATATTTGTCATTCACTATACACAACATGAACAAGAGAGCAAATTGATAGAACCCATGTTTGACAAGGAAAAATTATTTGAGAAAAAGGGAGAAATTATAACAACAATTCTACTTCTACTTACACTTTGTGCCTTCTGTAATTTAAGAAATAATATAAAAATTTCATATAGTTCTAGATTTGTAAATTTTAATGTGGTTTCACATATACTACATATTGTTCAAATTTAGAGTTAATGTGGTTTCACATACATTTCATAATCTAAACTTTCATGCAGTTTGCTTTGTATAAATGTATGCTCAAAATGGCTAAAATTATATAGCAAAATAACATTAATAAGATGTTAAAGCCATAAATATTGCCTTTTTTTCTTTCTAAAAATAAATACCACTATTTCTACATCCATAGGCAACTATTTTTGAAATTATCGACACTATTTCGTAAAAAAATAACAACTATTTATCAGTGATTAAGTTTGTCATCCAAAAGCCATAACATGTCACGTAACTTACTATATAACATGATGATAAGAAGTATCAATAGATCAATATGGAAATAATTATCGATAGTTCATCTTAACATGATGATAAGAAGTATCAATAGATCAATATGGAAAATAATTATTGATAGTTCGATAAGATGCCAATATGCGCATTGATCTCTTTTTTTTTTTTTGTTTTTTTTGTTTTGTTTTGTTTTGTTTTGTTTTGTTTTTTTTTTTTTTTTTTTTTTTTTTTTAAGTAAGGCATTCATTTTATCAGTGATTAAGTTTTTAGTAAGGTATCTCGACGTGTCCCATTCAAAAAACGACATGCCAACCAAAACATTCCATGACTAAGTCTGAAAATTGTATCTCAACGGTTCGATCAAATACAAAAATATACTTTATAGATGTACATTTGGAAAATAAATGAGTCATAATCATTAGTTAGCATCATGCTTGAATCATCAACTAGTTAATTAGTTTAATAATATCAAGCTAAGGTGGACTTTTGAAAAGAGGAAAGGGGTTGTGACTAAATCTTAATGTTATTGTTCAATTTTAGTGTTCATGTGGGTTCACATACATATAATAATCTAAAGTTTCATTCAGTTTTCTTTTTAAAAATGTATGTTGGACAACAAAAATGGCCAAAACATAACAACTATTGATGAAACTAGCAATAAGATTTCGTAAGAAAAACAACTATTTATTAAAATTGAAAAATCTGTTTCATCAAAATCAAATAAACCTCCTATTACATACTGTGAGTTTATATAAAGTTAAAGTCATTGTACATAACTATCAACTAATTTCAAAACTAAACAAAATAGTAAACGGATATAAACCACAAAGCCATAAACTTGGGTATGTATTACCTATTTATCAAACTCAATACACTGTTTTGTAAAAACTGGAAATAATCGAACAAAATTCTAAAACTAGAATTACATCCTCCAAAACATCAATTCAAAACAAAAACAAACAATCTTCAAAATGAAAATCTGTTCCATATCACCAATAAACTCTCATCTCTCAAAAGATCAATCATCTTGTATAACAACTTTACATGAAACCTTGTTATGTCCTGAACATCCACACCTGCTACAAGTGATGGTCTTCTTAGTCCCACTGATTTCACCAGCAGATTTATTCCTACTTTTCTTTGGTCTTCCAGCTAGACCATTTATGATAGTATCAACAAACTGTTTATCCAAATCTGAAAATTGATGCATCACGAACTGATATGTTTTCCGATAAAAGCTTGCCTTCTAGTAACCATTAACATACTCAAATACACCACGACTATCATGTTGCAACACTTGCAATGCATGAGAACATGGAAAACAATTATGCTGCCATTGCACGCAATAACATGTCCTATCGTCCAAACAAACAACAAACCAATTCCTTTCCATCCTAACTTCAAAAACATCTGCATCAGAACGACTAATCCTCCAATTCATGCCCTCATTCAACAACAACTTCATCTCATTTTCTTTCTTTGGACACAAAATTATGTGAATAGTTTGACCAAATATCCTCTTCTCAGCCATACTAATCATCAGTCGAACTCTAATATCTTAAAAAAGATCCATAAGTGGCATACGACGACTATTCGACACCATGATGTTAAAAGATTCTGAAAGTGCATTGCTTATCAATCCCCATCTTTTACCAGAAAATGGGCAATAACATAGTTCTCTTGGCAAATTAGACAAAAAATTCTTCACATGCCCTTGCTCGTTATCCTTGAATGCCGCCATGCAATCATCAAAAATCAGATGGAGTACATGCATACGCACAATTTGTTAAAAGAATCATCATTTTCTTCTTTAGTCCCTCACTAGCCACCTTTGGAAATAAAGTACTAACATTTTGTTTCAAATGAACAATACAAAATGAATGTGGAGACTCCAAAAAGAATTTTGCAATGCTCTTCAAAATACCATTATGTCTATCTGACATAAATCAAAAGACTTAACAAAAAGAGATATCATGTTCCATTACATGAAATTTTCAACATGACCAGCATTATAACTTGCAAAATATCTCACAGCAAAATATGTTCAAATGTTCAACATAAAAAAACAACATCCCAGATGTTTAACAACAATGTTCAACTACAAAATCAATATCCAACTGTTCTAATTCAAAAAGAAGAAGAAAAAAAATGGTTGTAACTTGTTTTCTTCCATTTGTGCAGTAATATCCAAACTACAAACTCCCTCCATGCTCAAGGCTTCTAAGGCTTGCCTCTCTTTGCTGGTGATTTGTATCATTTGTTGGTGGATTGTGATTATGGTGGCACAACTTGGGAAGTGACACAAATGTAGCCTTGTACCTATTGAAAACCAAAAGATAATAGCTTACACTTAGTCACCCTATAAAATCCAAATCGTACTCCTTTTATCACAATTTACACAAGTAATTGTTGAAAAAAAAGGAAAAGAATAAACAACACAAAAACTAAAGGGCTACTGAATGTACCATTTGAACTTGTGGAGTGGGTTGTGAGCTAGATACTATGCCTTTCCCTCTTCCCATTCCTCTTCCTCTTCCTTTTCCCATGCCCATGCCCATGCCCATGCCCACCTACAATATCAACCAATTTAATGGACTTCACTTTCATTATCAAAACCTACAATTAAAAAAAAAAAAATACAACACAAAACAGATTATACCTCTAGTGTAGATGTGTTAACAACAGAATGATTTGGCTTTTGAGTTGCTTAAGTTGTCACTGGTGTGTTTACAGTTGTGTGACTTGGCTCATAAGTGCCATGAGTTGGTATTGATTGACTTGTAGAGCCCCAATTTCCACAAGTTCTTTTTGTGTGGCCCTCATGTCCACATTGTTGACATGTATACGGTCTGTGTGAAACCCATTTCCCTAGCTTCTTTCCACCATGAGTTGTCACTTGTGGCTTTTCACCAGGCTCCTTTGTCCTATTCTTCTTAGGTCTACCTATTTTCTTTTTGTGTAAAAGAGGTTTAATAGTAATAGTATCTGCCACTTTTAACCATTGATTTGGACCAGGAAGGGGTGAAATAACAGAGACATAAACGCTGAGGTAAGATGCTTGCTTATAGCACTCATCAACATATAAAGCAACATTTTGTTTTTTTTCTTAGAATGCAAGCAATAACGTGAGCACGATGGATTCCACAAAGATCCCATTTCCTACAAGTACAAGTCCTGGCTCCTAAGTCTATTGTAAACTCCCCCCCCCCCCCCCCCCCCGTATAAGTGTTGAACTTGGTATTTCATATCTCCAGCTAGAGTAGTAAGGCAAATCCCACTCTCTTTCTTCAACTTGTCAATTATTTTCTCAATTCTTGGACTAACAATCCCCTTCCACTTTAAAGCAGCCATTTTTCTATTTGCCATCCTTACCATTAGGTTCTTCCTTATCATTTGGAGCATAGTCAAAATGGGCTTGTCCCTTGCTTTCACAATCGATTTGTTAAAAGCCTCACATAGATTGTTGGCAAGAATATCACACTTAAAATATGTGCTAAAATATGATTTACTCATCCAACCATTTCCAAGCTTCCTCATTGTCTTCTTTCAACTTATCCATAATTGATTGAAACCAAGGTACTGTTGTTGCCCTTGCTACCTCCCACAAAGTTTGCTTTAATGCGAGGCCACTATGTATTTTTTTGAAGTTATTATGCAAGTGCCTAACACAATGTCTATGCTCTGCATTGGGCATCAAGGTTTGAATGGCATTAATTAACCCTTTTTGCTTGTCTGTGATGAATGCATAGCCATGACTATTGCTCATGCCCAAGTCACCAATCAATATTTTAAAAACCACTCCCAGGTGTCTTCATTTTCTATTTCCATAATAGCATATGCAAGTGGGAACATCCCATTATTGGCATCAATCCCAATTGTAGCTAAAACTTGTCCCGGATGTTTCCTTTTCACAAAACATCTATCTAGTCCTATAACAGACCTACACCCCTTTGTAAACCCCGTTTTGCAAGCTTCAAAACAAATATACATTATCTGGAATCTCCTTATATCACCTCTCATCTGAGTTTTAATAACCATAGTTGATCCAGGGTTTGTACTCTTCAATACCTCAGCGTATTGTTCAAGTTTGCTATATTGTTAAGCCTAAGTACCATAATTCAATTGTTCTGCTCTCTGCCTTGCCCTATATATTTGTTGAGTAATCACCTCTTGGCCATAATCTTCCTGAACTGCAGCCTTAAACAAGTCAACAAACCAATCTGGATCAATGAAGAGTTGATTAACATATCTTTGTGTTAAGAATCTAGAATTAAGCCAAGAAACTTTTTCATTTATAGCACAAACATGCTCCAACTCAAGTGTTTTGATCTGGAAGGTTGCTGATTTATGCAACCTTGCACCATAAATGACAAAAAGGCAATCTTCTTGACAAACAACCCTAATTCTAACCTTGTCATTTCTTTTAAACCACACACGTCTCCTATTAATTACACTGTAATTAATGATAGTCTCCTTCAATTGTGGTTTATTAGGAAAAACTTTGGTGTAGGCTTATTCCACTGCCTCTATGCCTCTCATTAATTACATTGTAATTAATGATAGTCTCCCATTAATAGTCAGGATTTTTCAAGTTTATACCTCTATGCCATTCTCTCTAAACTTTGGTGTAGGTTTATTCTGCTGCCTCTTTCTCTTTCTGCTGGTTACCTTATCAAATTCATCTTTTTCTTGTGAAGTTTCATTTTCAAGGCTATGAAAGTCAC